GTTATATGATTTCATAAAATGGCAGAGACGTTTGGGGCCAGATTGGCACACGAGGCTTTGGACAGACATTGGAACGGAAAGGCACCCTCTGCCGGCACAGAATGATTTCACATCGTCAGGCAGATTATTTTGGAAACATATACCAAAACACGGATGAAGTTACATAATACATTCTTAGTGTATTCTGTGTACAGAGAAACAGATGTCTTAAGGAATTTAGGAACGTTTAAGGTACTTTGGTAACAGAGGAGTGTTCTCTCATTAATCCATTACTATCCTTATTAGATTTGGGTTTTTTTAAAAAAAAATAATGTGGATGAGAACAACATGAGGAGTATAAGGTGGTGTTGGCTTCGTGATAGCCCAGAGGAAATCTACAGGAAAACCTCTCTCAAACTAAATTATATTTTGACCTCAGAGTGTCTCCCACCCATTGTCTGGGCAATCGGGAGGTCCCTGGGTGTTCACAGACTAGTTCCTTTTCCCTCACAGTTAATCACGACTTCAGTGAAGCCCAGACCTCACCCAGGGCCTCAGCTTTTAGCGGGAGGAAATAACTAAAGGAAAGCAAGAGAAACAGGGAGAGGGGTGGTACGTTTTACAGACTGGTTCTGAAGGACCAACCAAGACTTTGGCCATGGTATTTTCAATGCAATAATGACACTGTGAATTTGAAATCTCAACAAGGGAGTTGACGTAACTCCTGACCATATCCCAGCAGGAAACATCATGTGGACTTCTATGTGAGCCATAGACATGGCAGAGGTCACATACACCCCTCAGATGGCTGTAAGTTACCTGTTTCGTGTAACTTTGGTCTGCTTTGAGAACACATAATGAGATCGGTGATGACTATGGAGAGACACAAAGGGAAAATAGCAGAGGGAGGCTCATGAGAACAGTGCTCATGGAGGGGAGGGGTCCCTTTGGTGTTACAGTTTTAAGGAGTATGTGTTAAGAGACCCACAAAGTGTTTTTTCTCAGCTATAATTTCTTTTTTCAACCCTTCTGCATTTACATAACATCCATGAGGTTGTTAGTAGTTGTTGTTTTTTAATTTAAAGGATATGCTTCTCATGTTACCACTTGTAGTACACACAACACTGTTCCTACAAGGGGATGGGCACAGCAGTGATCCTTGCAGACATCTTTGGAGAGAAGGTCCCTCCACTGAAGCTACTGTTCATTTGAAAGTAGCCAATGGGAATAGGCTAGAGTGGGTTAGACACTGCGATAGTGGCCTGACTTCCCGCCTCTTTCCACTGATGCAGCATTGGATTTAAAGAGTGTACACGCTGTCCTTCCATACTGAGATGATCAGTTGCAAGGTTAAAAAATGCACACTGTTTCGTCGGGTTGACCTCTGCCAATATGTACAACCTTAGAACTCTTCTGAAGGGTTCCTTGCTTCAAAAAGATGTCCTTAGCACTCTCTCTCTCTCTCTCCCTCTCTCTCTCTCTCTCACACACACACACCTCTCTGATAAAATGGTACACTATTTATTATTATTTATTCATCAAATGTATACCCTGCCCTCCCAGCCAAGGCCGGCTCAAGGCAGCTTACATAAAAATAAGACACATAAATTTAAAAAAGTCCTTAAAACCTTCTAAAACCATCTGACATTATAAAGTGCTAGTAAACATTATTGTTAAACGATGACAGCCATTGTTCAATGATCTATTCTCACAGTCGGCTCCAAGATCTTTCCTTTATGCGACTGGCACAGACATAGAGGTGGGTGGCTTCACTGATGTGAGTTCCCAGAACACTGTAGCACATGCATCCTCACACACCGTGTTGTCTTCCAGAATTCACTTTTACTTTCCAGGTTCACTTCCAGGTTCGCTTTCCAGAATTCTTACTTAAAAGGTCTCAAAGCCCGCTCCTCCTAGTGGGGCTTCCTGTCTACTCCTATTCTGCCAGCGAAAGCAGGCACCACCTCCCCAGGGTGTCTCAGGGTTTCTGGACCGCTGCCTTCCACGTAAACCGATGGTATGGCAGTCAGTGGACTACTAATCCCAAGAGCAAAAAGGCCGGTTCACACAAGTATGTTACTGACTTAAGAACATCAGAAGAGGCCTGAGGGATCAGACCAGTTGTCCATCTAGTCCAACATCCTGTTTCACACAGTGGCCAACCAGTTGCCATGGAGGGCCAGCAGCCAAGGCCTTCCATAAGAACATAAGAGAAGCCAATGTTGGATCAGGCCAAAGGCCCATCCAGTCCAACACTCTGTCACACAGTGGCCCAAAACACTAGGTGCTGCCTCCTAGAACTAAGTACTACGTCTCAGGATATGGAGGTTTCCTTTACTCACCACCACTGGCAACCACTAATGGGACTTTTCTCCATGAATTTATCTAATCCCGTTTAGAAGTCATCTATGCCCTTGGCCATCACAACATCCTCTGGCGGCAAATTCCACACTTTAAAACTGAAAAGTTCCAGCCTCTTCAGCCTCTGCTGAGGCTGGGCTAGCCTGGGCTATCCAGGTCAGGGTTTCTGAAAGTCCCTGTTACCTTCTCTAACCCCTTACAACAACCTGGTAAGGTGATGTCAGTGTCACTCTCCCCATAGAATAGAGGCCTAGAGCTAGGAGAATAGCCGTTTGCCCGCAGCCATCTAGGAAGCTCATGGCAGAGGAAAGATTCAGACCAGTGGCCCCAAGCATTTAAGGCAGTGCACATTAAACACCACAGCTTAAATATCCTCCATCACTCAAATGCCAGTCTCTAAACATGCGCAGCTGCAACTGTGTCGAGTAATCAAACAAGGACACCTTGATGCGTGAATATCCGTTAGGCTGGCCCTCTATATAAGGGGTGGCCTGGATTTCATTTTAATGTTTACATCCCTTGGGTATGAATTACACTGACAATGACCAATGCTTGTAGGGTTCTTCTGATATACAATGCAGAACAGCTGTTCAGAAGCTGGACAAGACAGGCCATCATGCTGTATTTTACTAAAGGACTGTTACTTTCTTCTGTTGGCTTAATTTTTTTTTTACCATATATTTATTGTATATCTGTTGTAAGCCACCCTGAGCCCTGCTCACAGGGGAGGGTGGCCTAGAAATTGAACTAATAAATAATAAATACATATTTTATTGATTGATTTAAATTCTCCTTTCCCCATCACTGCTGCATTTGAGTGTCCTTCAGTGCAATTGGTTATTGCTGTGACCTCCTTAGGCCTGCATTCAATAGATGGAGTAACTCTGCATAGGAGTTCGTTGTACAAAACCTGTGATTAGTTGCAAGCAAAAAGCCAGGGCATTAATTCTTGACCATTTATTCCCATTTCTCATATGCCTGCACAAAGCAAGGCTATATGAGCGCATTCAGCTACTGTTGGACCAGAAGGACAGCTAATTTGGCATGCCTGGGAACCAGCCTACAATCCCACCTCCCGTTTTCCCTGTGCATCCACCTTACCCTGAGGGAGAAGCACATATTTTCCCATTGTTAATCATTTCCCAGGCTGCTCTGCTGGACCACAGCATGGTTTCTGTGGACCACGTCCCCTCCCTTGTTATTCCAGTATGAACTGTTTGCAAAATCTCTGGTTAAACCATTGCTTAACAAGGCTAGAGAGAGCTCGGGTGAGCCAATTGGGTCAGCAGTTTAACAGAAGCAATGGCCTCAGCTGGCAACCAAGAAGGCATAAAGGTACACGCAGAACAAGACAGAAGGAGAGGAGCAAATGAAGTCGGTATTTAAGGCCATGGTGGGCAACATGGCCGATGTGACACTGAAGATGTAAAACAAGTAGCCTGATGTCTATAGTGATGAGAGTAGGAGCCAGGGCTCAGTGGCAGTGCATCTTCTTCGCATGCCAAAGGTCCCGGGTTCAGTCATGGGTGTCTCCAGTTTAAAGGATCAAGTAGGCGGTGATGTGAAAGACCCCTGCCTGAGACTCTGCAGAGCCACTGCCAGCCTGAGTAGACAAGACTGAGTTCATGGACCAATGGTCTGATCCAATATAAGGCAGCTTCAGGCATGCCTTTCAAAAGCAGAGTCATGCCTTTCTATGTCCAGTGAAATTGAAACTGAAGTCAATGTTTAGCCCAGGGGTCCCCAAGCTTTTTGAGCCTGTGGGCATATCTGGAATCCTCCTGACACAGCATCGTGGGTGCAGCCACAAAAATAATGGCCACAGCTTCATTTCAGTCACACGGTGCAGATCCTTGTGCTGTGATGGCAGCTGCTGCCAAAGTAACATTTAAAAAAAATCTGCACAGCCAATCACAAACCTTGCTGGGCAAAAGCCCTACTTGGCTCCACCCACTTACTAAGAAACACTTGGGTGGGCACCAGGAAAGGCGTCTGCGGGTGGTACAGTGCCCACAGGCACCACCTCAGTGGCCCTACCGGATCTGAATCAAGGAGTGTCAGTAGATTTGTCCACAGTTTCACTCATAAGGAAAAGAGGGAAGGGAGGCTCTTTTGAAAATGTAAGAGAGCAAAGAGAGCTGTCAGTCTTCTGTACCTTTTTTTTAAAAAAATAATGTGATGGCCACTTATAGGTAAAGGTTTCCCTTGCTCGAAAGCCAGTCAAATCCGACTCTAGGGCACGGTGCTCATCTCCGTTTCCAAGCCGAAGAGCCAGCGTTGTCCAAAGACATTTCTGTGGTCACATGGCCAGCATGAGTAGACACCGAGGCACACGGAACGCTGTTACCTTCCCACCAAAGTGGTACCCATTTATCTCCTTGCAATTTCTTGCTTTTGAACTGCTAGGTTGGCAGGAGCTGGGGCCAGAGGCGAGAGCTCACTCCGTCATGCAGCACTCAGGTCTCGAACTGCTGAACTACCGACCTTCCTGCAACACTACAACTTTCATTATTGAAGTCTGCTGATGTGGCAAAATATGCTCTTCTAGGCAATCTTGTGTCGGACTGCGATCACACTTTCAATCCACTTTCAGTGCACTTTCCAACTGTGTGAACTGGCAAAATCCAGTTGGAAAGTGCATTGAAAGTGGATTATTTAGTGTGTGTGATTGCAGCCTTGGTAAGGAGAGAGGCCGTGGCTCAGTGGTAGAGCATCTGCTTGGCATGCAGAAAGCCCCGGGTTCAATCCCCGGCATCTCCAGTTAAAAGGACCTGATGGTAGGTGATGGGAAAGATCTATGCCTGAGACCCTGGGGATCCCCTGCCAGTCTGAGTAGACAATTCTGACCTTGATAGACCAAGAGTCTGACTCAGTATAAGGCAGCTTCATGTGTTCGTGTGTGCCCAAGTGGCCTGTGATGGTGCAGAGAGCTCACAAAGTCAAGACAAGGAGCAAACAGATGACTTGGGGCTTGGCTTTCCACTGCTCTGCAGGGAATGGCCTCGCAGAAGTAGGTAGCACCATTCTCAGGCAAGTTGGTGTAATCATCCCACATCAAGGAGGTGGAAGACAGACCCGTTGAGCTGCATCACTATGGTTATTAAAGTTACCAAAAGAGAAGGGATGGGTATTGCCAAACTGGCTGAACAACAACACCATTTCATTGTTGATGTAATGAAACATGGTCTCTCTCTTTCTCTCTCTCTCTGTGCTTTCTTTAAACAGCAAAAGAACGGTATCAGAATATCAGCTGTTACACGACAAAGGGAAGTCTTTGCAAGATATACGCAGACGGAACTTCCTGCAAAATTTGATAGACGGGGTTAACACAGCAGAGATCCGAGCCATGTCAGAGGTCTCACCTAACCCTAAACCTTCTACTGTCGCCAAAAACTACGCCGTACGGTTTGGAAGTGATGACGAGGGCAAAAACCTGACTCAGGAGACCAACAAAGCCCAGATGTACAAGGAGCAGCCCCTTAAGACACCAGGGAAGAAGAAGAAAGGGAAGGCCGGGAAACGTAAGGAGCAGGAGAAGAAGAAGAGGAGAGTTCGTTCCGCCTGGCCCAGCTGGAGGGGGTCTGGCAGTGGAATGGTGCGGATCCCTCTCTTGGACACCTTTGGTACTACACATGTCAATGCAAGGTAATTCATTCTTCTTCACCCTTAATGGCAAAGTCCACTGTGGAAGTTTTCAGGGCCAAACCACCATGGTGCCTACAGAGGACCAATGAACATGGAACAAATCGAAAGTTGTCTGGGGCAAGACTCATTGACTAAAACGAGAGTCACCAACAGTATTCTGGTTCTTGAGTAGACCAGTTTCCTGATTAACTGTATCCAGGTCTGTCGATTCAGGTGACCTTTAATGGAACCCAAAGTCTGGAGTCCGAACCACCGTGTCTCGTTCCCATTTCCTCTACATCACGGTAAAAGAGGGGGTCAAATGCTCCCTTTCTAGATAGAGTTGCCAGTCTCCAGGTTGGGCCTGGGGATCTCCTGGGATTACAACTGATCTCCTGGAGAAAACGGCTGCTTTGGAGGGTGGCCTCTGTGGCATTATACCCCGCTGAGGTCCCTCCCATCCCCAAATCCTGCCTTCTCCAGGTTCCGCCCCTAAATCCCCAGGCATTCCCCCACCTGGAGGTGGCAACCCCACTTTCTAAAACAACAGAGTTTTGTTCCATCTGCTTTAAAGTGATTCATTAAGGTAGGTACCCTCCTCCATTTGGAGGGGGGGTAACAAAGTCCTAGTGAGTGAGTAGCCGACTTGTGGACAAACGTCAGTCGCTTACAGGGCCATTGTAAGCAGAGTCACACACTGGCTAGGTTCATTCAAGTCAACTCTTCTTAGGATGGCACAGTTACACTGCAGTTATGGTTGCCAGCTCCGGGTTGGGATATACTTGGAGATATTGGGGGTGGAGCCTGAGGGATGGAGGGGACTTCAGTGGGGTATAATGCCATAGAGTCCATCCTCAAAAGCGGCCATTTTCTCAATTTGAACTGATTTCTGTCGCCTGGGGATCAGTTGTAATCCTAGATCTCCGGTTGGCAATCCTAGCTGCAATCCTAAACATACTTCCTAGGGAGTATGCGGGGTTAGGACTGCACTGTTATATCCTCTCTTAAGTACTAGGAAACTATCCTAGAAGTTTGTCCTGGGAAGCCGGCCGATGGTCACAGAAAAGTTTGCCTTTGAATGCATTTGCAAGTCCATTACTGTAACAGGAGGGTTTTTTTAAAAAGGGGTTTTTTTTAGAAAAATGAGAGCTATTTGGATTTTAGATTGGAAAATACGAAACCTTGGATAAACTTTGCACATTATAAAAGCAGCATATGTCCGTCCCCCTGGCTGCATTTAGCAATTTACACCCCTGCTTCACAGGTTTGGATTTCTCTCTCTCTCCCCCCCCCCCCTTCTTACAGCTTTTAACCTTAGGGGAGAACATGGAAAGTTTCTCTGAGTAAAATCTACTTACACTGGCCACCCCTCTGCCATAATATTTTCCCTACCATTAGGACTTGTTAGTTCAGTTCCAATTTTGCTGCCAGCTTGTCAAACAATTACATTGCTGCTGAAAAATGTTGAGCATTACCCTGGGGGAAGAGGAACATGTTGCTCTCATATATGACAAAGAAGGGCTTTTAAAAATGTAACAGTGATGTTTGAAGCTTAAGAACGGCTGCCCTGCACTGATTCTGTATCATCATTTTGGGAAGGAATCTTGAAAAATGCTCTCTCTCGCTCTCGTGTGCTTTAACTCAAAAGGAAACAGAGTGATCTTGAGTTGCAAGGGAGATTCTTGGACAGACATCTGAACAGTCCTGAGCTTATATTTTACTTGCGTCCCTCCTTTTTTCCACTGTGGAACTCCATGCCCTTTACAACGCTTTCCCCAGAGGTCTCCCACCCAAACATTGACTAAACGCAGACCTGCTTGGCTTCAGAAGCCAGAGACCCACTTCAGAAGTTGTCTTTCAACAACACACTGGGTATTGATGGCAAACTACATCTGGTGGCCCCAGATACCTGTTCAGGGTACGAAACTATGGAAATCTTTCAAAAAGCCCAAGAAACTTTCAGATCTATCTCAAAGCCTTGTCATCTGCTTTGGAATGTACTAGACTATGCACAGGATTGCCCGTTACTGTGTTTGGAGGGCATTATTCGGGGCAGAAGAAAAGGGCCTCTCTTTAGACGTAACAAAAATTAGATTGCACAAAAAGGCAATCTTTCTTTCTTCTGTCTCATGATGGCGACAACAATGTCACGCAATTCCCATCATCTCACCCCCAGCTTTCCAAGGGATTTCTACCTTGGGTATGCAGGCCTAGTCCAAACGCCCATTGCGTAGTTTGTAACTCCATATAGAACCAGTGAAAATAGATGCAGGTATGAAGCAGGTATGTTGGTATGAAGCAGCAGGACAAAGTTTGAGTCCACTGGACTCAAACTTTGTTCATAGAACCAGTGTGTTTGCAAGGAATATAGGTTTCCCTGAAGGATAGCCCTGTCATGAGGCCTGAAACTAGGGTTGCCAGCTCCTGGTTGGGAAACACCAGGAGATTGAAGGGGGGGGTAGAGCTTGAGGAGGGTGGGGTTTGGGGAGGGGAGGGACTTCAGTGGCACATAAGGCCACAGAGTCCACCTTCCAAAGTGGTCATTTTCTCCAGGTAAACGGGTCTCTGTCATTTGGAGATCACTTGAAATCCCAGGTCTCCAGCCACCACTTGGAGGCTGGCAACCCTACCTGAAACACACAGAGACAGCTGGCCTGCCCCTCCCTCCACCTACCCTGAGCAACGTCTCTGATCCTGTCTGAAGATGGTGCATTTGGAAGTCCTTTCTCAGTGCTTTGGAGAGATCCAGATTTACTGCAATGGTGGTCAGTTGGAAATGGATCTTATGGCGGTTCTAAACAAGTGGGGAGCTGTTCATTTACACGCTTCCTTGTACAAACAACTGGGGCCTCATTAGAACGCCAAGCTTCTGCATGGCCAGAGCCAACAAAGCGGTACTCTGTGAGGTCTGAGGGTAGGCTTGCCAACCTCCAGGTGGTGGCTGGAGATCTCCTGGGATTACAACTGATCTCCAGTTCCCCTGGACAAAATGGCCAGTTTGGAGGGTGAACTCTATGGCATTATACCCTACTGAAGTCCCTCCCCTCCCCAAACCCTGCCCTCCTTCACCCCCAAAATCTCCAGGTCTTTCCAAACTCATAGTGGCAACTCTATTGGAGGTACTGTCCAGGAACACACTGAACTATGCAAAAAGTGGTTGGGTGTATTTTAAAGAAAATGGTCAAACCTTTCTTTTTAATCAAATTCCCAGGGTTTTTCTCCTCCGGTTTTATTTTTATTGCTTGCATAACTATGGTTCTTCTATCCTGGGGCTCTCTTTAAGAGAGCTGCAGAGATTGGGTTAGAGTTGTTTTGAAATGCTGAACCAGCTTTAATGCCTGGTTATGTCCAAAGGAAACCCAAAACTCACCCAGCATCCATAGATCTGGCCTTGTCTCAAAGCATTTTTTGCCTTTGTTCTAATATCTTAGCAGTATAACAGGACCTTCAAGAGCTTATATGTGAGACGTTCGTTTTAAGGCAGATTGTTTAAGAAAAAGAAGTGATTAAGAACAAAAAGTGAAATTCCTTCTTTGCCAAATGGAATGCGGAGTTTCAGTTTCTGAGCTTCAAAAGCCGCCTTTACCTGAAGTTACACTGATAGTCTGGCAGGAGATAATATTTCTATGCCATTAATCATGTGACAGATAGGATAATGTTTCCAGGGTAATCAGAATAATGTTTCTAGAAAAACACACGGTGATTTTCACCAGGTATAGCCAGATATCCTTCTTTAAAGCATTGTTCCACTTCCATTGCCTTCTCCATACATATACAAACAGCTGCCCCCTCTGGAGATCT